CATGTTGAAATGACGCTATGCATTACGGGGCTCCCAGGGGCAGATAAGAGTTGGTCTCTCTCCGAGAATAATTATGAATTTAACAATGATTACTGCCTGATGACATTTTCCCACATCTGCAAAGCTCACTGGAAGGACACAAACCGAGGACAATATTTTCCTGAAATACGGATTGCTCAAGTAAGGGTAAAAAAAAAAGTATCTGATTAGAAGGCTACTTGAGTACTGAGTATCATCTGATCTAATATTTTTAAATGATGACATCAAACAGACAAAATACGAAGTTATGGGCAAATATTGGTATTGTAAAGACGAAAGTGGAAAAATGTAAACAAATAAACAACAGCATTACAAAATAACACATTTTAGGCTAAATTTAGACACAAACTGAGGACAATATTTTCCTGATATACAGGGTTTATTTAATTGTGTGAAAATGTAGCGCGTTTAAAAAAAATACCGCGATAATACCGAAAACCATGGTAATTTTGGTCAAAATAACCGTGAGGTTAAATTTTCACACCGTGACAACCCTAATACAGACCATTTTAGATTAGGTTACATTTCCTTTATTCCCAGATTATGTGGTTTGTAGCACTAATTATAATGTAGAAAATTTCTGGCCAATCCACGTGATCGGTATCGGTGATCAGCATTCTTTGATATCGGTATCGTGATCGGCAGCAAAAAACCTGATCGGTGCATCCCTAGTTGCTATACCTCCTTAATAAAGCCAATTTAAAGTCAGGCACATCTACAGACAGCCTGGTGCTGCTGCAGAATTTAATTCAGACGCATATTTACATTCCTGAATAGCATCTGCATGTTACTTTCTACTAAAATATATTTAGATTTATTAGATTAGAAAATGTGATACTTTTTAATTGATTTGTTTGTCAGATTGAAACGCCGATCAGTGCACAAAAGGAATGTTTCACAGTTGGTTAAATTCAGTGTTCAAAAACTGATTCAGCTTCAGGAATTTTGTGTTTCCGCTGAAGTTTTACGGACATTTTAGCATGAAAATAAGGTGGAAATCCTCTCGGCCATGAATCAACAGCACCTTTCGGCCTTTGGCTGACCGTGACTGCATCAGTATCAGCAGGACGGTGTGGAGATGTTTAATAACCCGAATTGGCTTCACTGAAGGACTGGAATGACCAGTTACAGACTGAAGGCAGAGGGGAAAATTATCTCTGCCTGACCCAAACACAGTCTTGTTATCCTAAATCTGATGCCAAGGCAGCCTTGGAGTTGCAAATAATCATCCCCCACGAAGGAAGGAATGCAGACAGGTTGCTGTGGAAACCCCCCCCCCCCCCCCCCCCACCCCCTTGCCTTCAGATTGTGGACTTCACAGCAAGGCCATCAACCTGCAGGAATGTGCTCTATGCTCCACCCAAGATCTCGCTCCCTCCTGTGGACACAGCTGGCTGAGCGCCGCACATGGCTGCTGGCCCTGGATAAAACAGGATCCCAGCTCCCCTCCCTATCGGAGTCTCATGTTGTGAATGTTGAAGTTCGTGCTTATGTGTTTTTTATTATTATTTTTTTTTTTGCATAGTACAGCTACGCCCTGTTGGGAGTAAAGCCTGGTTTATGCTTCTCCGTCAGCTCCGCAAGGGACAGACACGCACGGATTGATGGAAGCGTTTTGCTCTCATACTTCTCCGTCTCCTGGAGAGTGTTGCAAAGCAATTGCCCGGCAGGACAACAGAGGGCGTAGCGCTGTTCTGTGGTATCCTGTCATGTATCGGTCCAAGATCGTGTGTTTATATTGTGTTTTTTGTGTTTATATGAGACTTTTAACACGGACGTATTTGTCTCTCATTCTCCCACCTCTTCATGCGCTCCCCACCTCTAAACCCACGTTTCCTGTCATTTCCGTCCACAAATAAAATGCTTGCTCCGCATCTTTTCTTTCCTCCAGTCACGGGAGGATTAAACGTTCATATTTTTAGAGTTTTTTCACGAGGTATTCTTCAAGCTTCTCCGTGTCTGCCGCTAGTTATTCTCGGCTCTCTTTGCTATGGCGGCGCTGTAAACAACAGCGGCGTCCTGACCAATCACAAGCTTGCGTAATCCGTCCCGTTCGACGGATGTTTAAAAAAGTGGGCTCGACTCCGTACGTACTTGTGTGCCTGCCGGAGCCCTACGCAAGAACAGATAATGGCGTTGCGTGTCTCCGCACTGACGCAGACGGAGAAGCATAAATCAGGCTTAACTCTGGTATGCCTTTTTTTCCCCTCCCCCCAACTTATCCTCATGTAATTCCTTTTCATCTATTAAGGTAGCGCAACTCGGGTTGCGAATGACTGCAGTCGCCAATTCTTGTCATGTGTCTTGCCCATGTATGTCTGATCTCTGAATTGTGTGTACTGAAACTCTGTTTCGTTTCTCTGTATGTCTTGCACATGTGGTAGAAATAACAATAAATGCTTCTTCTTCTCCTTAAAAAAACCACATCGGTCGACCTCTTGTTGCTTTTAGACATTCTGACCCACAAAGTCCTGCAGGTTCCTCGTAAAAAGCCTCACATTTCATTCCAGGCTCTTAAATACAGGTCCATGTCGTCTTCTTAAGTTTCAGCAGAACTTCCCAGGAAGTGGATTACATCATCACCATCACTATTGCTCCACCTGGGATGCTTTTTCTGGATCTTGAGTCAAAATAAAGCGCCTGACTCTGATGCCTCCACTGGCTTGGCAGGCTGTTGATCCTCCTATTTGTACAAGACGGGGCCTTCAGAGTAACACTCTTCACGTTTAGATAAACATTCGTGTAGACGAGCTTTAGCTGTCTCTGTGAAACATGATACAACCCCCGTCTGTGTAACCGACATAAAGCATTAACTCTAGTTGGAATAATTAGAGTGGATCACAATACTTAAACACGGGCAGTTAAGCTTATCAGACAGAGTGAATTTGAACTAAAGGCGGCTTCAAACGAAACCCTTCAGCTACTGAAGTGTGAAGGAGGTAGGTGGTGATTGAGGACAGTTACACTAACTTTTATTGGCATTTTAAACTTAGTCACAAGATTACATTTACAATGTACTTTTAAAAAAATGTCAACTAAATGATAATCCAAGCAGTTTTTTTCTGCTTTTCCAACTGATCTGCAGGTCTGACACGTTACCCTTCCAACACGTAAATAGGTCAAACTACAATTTGAATGAAATACTCAGTGATTTACTCTAATTTTCCAGTCAATTTGCAAGTAATAAAATTATTCAACCAGCACCCATTTCTGCCATTCCCTCCTTTGTGTCACTTCATCATTGTTTTAAAGAAGCTAATGGTTTTAATGGGAAAATGCAACTATTACATCTAATATTCATGAGATGAGGATATTTGTTGGCGTTTCTAAAGAAAACGCCACATTTGACTTGTTGAAAAGGTCATCTGAAAAGGACAGTTGAACAAATGAAGGAATGCATTTGCATGTATTTATTTTCATAAAGTGATTCTCAGTCAGACAAAAAAACATTGCAGTACAAATGATTGTTTTCTAAAAGACGTTCAGAGAAAAAAAAGCTATTGTGGCATTTAGAAAAGTAAAACTTTATGTACTTCCCCTTCATTTACATGCTAATACATTTGCAGATGTATTTATTAAAACATTTATGAATAAATTTTTTTTTAAAAAGAAAACAAAAAAAAGAAAAAGAAAACACTCTAATTATGCTTTAATCTGCTGCCGCGTGTCAGCCAGCCCACAGCAGGGGGGCGCGTTGAGCTTTGGCGGCACGGTTCCTTGTTGTTCCGCAACAAGAAACAACAACAACTTCCTGCAAACCCGAGATATGTTTCAGTAGCCTTTAGTGCAACATAGGATGGGTGCCACGGTTGCTATGGAAACCACTCAGCCCACATTGAATTTGTGATTGTTACAGATAGTGGCCGCAGAGATTAACGTGTACTGGTCTGTTTAGATGATGAATCTGGATATTTCTGGACACACGCACACGCACACACACATGCGCACACACACACACACGCACACACACACACATACGCACACACACACGCACACACACACACACGCGCACACGCGCACACACACACGCACACGCACACGCACACGCACACACACACACACACACACACACACACACCTTTGACTCGCAGCTGCAACTACTACTTTTTATTAATCTTATTTGTCCAATTGTCAAAAGCATATTTCATTTCAGCTAAAGCAATAATCACAAGCTACAATCTGGCTCTGCAGTTCAACTTGAAAATAATCTAAAAATAGCACATAAAAATGCTAGCTCAGGGACCTTTTATACTTTCAACAGATGATAGATAAAGAACACCGCTTTCACACCACATGAAGCTTAAATGAATGTTTCATCCAATATATCAAAGTTTTCACCTCCCTGTAAATTTATTTTGTTTTTGCAATTTTACAACTTCAGTATCAGACAAAGACAACCTGGATAAATATAAAATACAGTTTTTAAATAATAACTTCATTTATTACAGGGGACACATTGTGCCTTTTATGAAGTTAAAATAGTTTTATGGTTGATACAAAATATTTTCATGAAGTTCTTTGCATCAAATCCCTCTCACGTAAAGCAATTTCAGCAGTTTTATTCTGTATGTTTTCAGTACCTTCCAGAATGAGCCGTTTCAGGGCTCTGTCACTTGAAGAAAACAAGCAGGAGCTGGCCACGCCCACCCCTATGCAGCTTACTCAAGTTTTTCTTTGCCTTTTGCTAAAATTTGTTTTCTAGTCTGAAACATAATGATATGCTGATCTGAGAGACAAAAACAAACAGCAGAGGCATTTTACTTCACAACAATGTGCTTTTTAAAAATATATTTAATTTGATAAAATCTACTGGGAGTATCTGTTAAACATGTTTGTTTTTGTCAAATCCCTCAGCGAAAACAAATACCCCAAAACAACAGCAAGTGTCACACATTTCTTTGGTTTAAAAATAACCTATAAATGCCAGAAATGGGCTCTCAGAACAGCTCTTATCTACTCACCAATAAGCTCCTTGTTCCTGATGTCCAGAGCCATGTTTCTGAGAGCGGTGGCGACAGCACACACCACCTTGTCGTTGTCTATCCTCAGTAACTCCACCAGAATAGGGAGGCCCTTCTCCTTACGGACGGCAGCTCGAATGTACACCGACCACTGATGAGGAGGACATGGGTGTAAAATAGAAAATAGAAACGAAAGCAATGAAGTCGTAAACTATCTCAATGTGTCTGTGCACTGTGGATCTCACACACAAAACAAGGAAAGACAATGCTTTGTATAACGCTTTGGAGAAATAATCCACCCTGAGAGGAAAACACATGTCAATGCCAGGATTTAAATGTGCAGAGTGTAGCGCGTGCCAGAAGTGGAAGCAGTTCTGTTTTCAAAGCTAGGTGAGTGTGCACACACACTAACACACAAGGACACTTACAGGACACGCGTGCAGCGTGACACCGAAACAGAAAGTGTGATATCCTGAAGACCACCTGCTTCTACCATTTTCCTCCCTCTTTCATTGATTTTTCTAGAGCCCTTCTCTTCCATCTCCCTCACACTCTACCTCTCTTTGTCCACGCTGCTATCAATGGAAACACTTATCTAATCACAATCAGTTACAAGCACACATCTCTGCAGGACTGATGAAGCCCACTCTCATCCTCTGTGTCTGTCTTGTGTCCACATTTACTCAGAAAGCAACATGGCTTCTTGGTGAGGATCTTTGATTTATCTAAAAATAGATACAAGTGGTCATTTTCTCTTTTAGTCTGCTTACAATCAGACCTGTTGGTGCAATTTTAATATTATAGCTTCCTGTGAAACTCTTTCAAAACAAATTTGCCTTTGTGATCTTCTGACAAGACCGAGACCACTGTTACGTGCAAAGCGCTTTTGCTGGCAGTTTCTATAACTGTTTTCCTTTCCAGGTTCAAGTGACCTGCTACGCTGAGGTGAACCTTCCCTTTTTGTCAGTGATTGGCTGCTGTGTACCTGGTTGCCCAGTTAGCTGCGGAGCCTGCCTTTAAATAGCCTACACCTGGTGGGAACTGCAGCCATTTTGTTCTGATCCTGCCTTTGAGCCCAGAGCTTGTTTTTCCCTGCTGTTTAGTTGTGAAGTTGAACCTTAAGTCCTTTTAAAGCTGGTTGCCAGGTATGTGGTGGGAAGGTTGTGGACCAGGTAAGATGGGGTACCCTTTACTTCTGCACACGTAGTATCTGGATGTCTAAAAACACTAGGTAAGCGTGGGTAGTACCTCCCTTGTACTGGTTTTTGAATTCCATTTTGTAGATAAGTAAGTTAGGATTTTCCTTCTCTTTTTTTTTCAAGGTTAAGAGTTCAGTTAGGGTGTGTTTTGTCTTATTTATTTCATTTATTTGGTCAACCCACAGGTCCCTTCTTTCCCCCCACATTTCTTTTTTAATATACTGTAAACAATCTTCAGCAAATACACTTTTTGCTCTTTTTGCCTCCAGACGTTGGCTGTTGCCCGACGCCGTTTCCTTTTTCTTGGATTGAATAATTTTCTCTGTTTTTTGAGCATTTCAACTACAAGCAAATGTATTGCTTCCAAGCAATAATATACAGTGTAGAACATACAAATTAAAGGGTTAAATCTGCTAAAAGGCAGAAGGTTGCTACAGTCAACAAATTTAATAATATTGCTTTGTGTGACTTTGCTTTGAGTAAAAGTGAGTTTATTCTCTGTGGGTTTACTCAAACGTTACACTCCACAACACTCGGTTTGAATCTAATGGACATTCAACTTGACTTTGCAGATTGGTGTTCCCATCTTAGAAACACTTTTGTGGATCAGAAATCCTTCAGTGTTCATCACTCACTGAGATTTCAAACGATGGACAAAAACAAATGAACCTGTAGTTTTACAGAGACTGGCACCCATGAGAAGAGTCTGTCGATGTTAAAGGTGTGGATCACTTATTTAATCAGTACTTTTGCTGTGGTCTCTGCTGAATGAATGATGAATGCTTGGTAAGTCGTACTCTGGGAAAACAAATGGCATACCCGGTACGCCTGTTTCAGGAAGTAATAGTCAGCCACTTCAGAGGAAAGCTTCAGACTGAAGGATTTGGAGTCTTATTTCCTGATAATTGGACATCTCACCTCTGATTGGCTAACAGCAACACAACTCCACCACTGACAGCATTTGCTTTAAAACGTTGATGTTTTATCTCCACACATAACACAAAGATGGGGGAGTTCTGCTGTGTGGTGGAGTAGCTAGTAGCAGTTAGCTTCTACTAGCCGAGACGTTCGCTGCGGTTTTGCGGGCGCTAAACCAACAACAGTCTTCCCTGTTTCAAGTGAAGATGGGTGAGTCCACGAATGCTAAGTGACAGTGTGATGTCACACTGTCAGGCTTTTCTAATCCTAAAGTTTCACCATCTATTTTCTATCAGAAGCTACTGCAGGTGACAGGTGTAGGAGACTATTTTCATGTTGAGCCTGCATAAAAAACTCAGTGGCTGATTATAATCAGAAATAATAATTAAAAATGTGGTTTTTCAGTGTTCCACACCTTTAACAAAAGATGTTCATTCCCATCTCGTTGTCTTTTGCATGTGAGTTTCAGCAGGAGGAAGGGAGGGGGTGGCTGTGTGTTATGTGCTTGGGCATGTGAGGGCAGTGATGCAGAGTGGGATTGTATTGGTTAATACTGATTATCACCAATAACAGCTATATTAAAGCTGCAATGGTATATTTGGAAAACAAATTAGCTTAAAACATTTGCTATACAGATAATGCATGACAAATCACTTCTAGCTTAACCTGCCACTTCCATAACAAAAGCACATTTTTATGTTGCCATGTTTTTAATTTTCTTTTCAAATGAAACATGGTTGTTTGTGGTTACCTTCCAGCTGCCCGCAGCCAGGTTCTGTAGCGCTCCGGCCGCGCCTTCGAGCGTGTCTGGATTAGAGCATTCGGAGAGCAGGGTGAGGTAGGGCTTGACGATGGTGGGGTGCCACAGCATCTGAACCCCTTTGGGAGGCTCTGCTGTGTCTGGAAAGGGACTCACACCATCCCACTGAAAAGGAAGAGAGAAAATCATTCTGAGTAACAAACATTACAGCATATCTGAACTAATAAGTGTCAGCTACTTCCAGAATATCTGATTTCAACTGAAGGTGTAGATGTAAATCTAAAAGATCTCCACACTGTCACACATATATTGAATTAAATGATATTTTCCCAAAGGGAAAATGTTTTCTTATGGATCAATAAACATATTACATCTTATAATCAGGATACAGAGTAACTCAGGGCAGGAATCACCTCTAGAGGTGAAGAAGTCTCCGACTAAACACATTCGATTGTTTAATCACTTTGTTGTGGAGGCGGTGAGCTGTGTTGTCGGTTATATTTAACAGTTTGCACAACGTTCTTATTTGTTCAATCAGCTGAAGAAGATCCAGAGCACTCTCCAGCGCACAAGCCAGCCTTCTCCATTAGTTTGGTGAGTTATGCTGCCACGGGTAACAGATGTTAGAAACACGGAGATGCACGAAGGCGTACTGCACATTTTTGTTTCAACTCTGCAACACACCTGATTTCTATCAGCAGGTCATTTCTGCAGAGTCCGATGGGCTGCTGCACAGAGGATTCAAGCACTGAATCTGGTGTGCTGGAGCAGAGAAACCACAAAAACATGCCCTCCAGGCCCCTGGCATACAGTAAGAACAGGATTTACTGGCCTGTTTAAGGTGATTTTGTTTCAAAGTTAAGCCATAGTTTAGCTTTCTACTCAGGAAGGCTTTCTCCGAGAGTTAAATGTCTAGAGAAATATTTAGTAGATCTTTCTTTATCTTTGTTTTGTGTATTTCTGATGGAACTAAGTTAGGAAGAGCAAATGAAAGGAAAACTTCTGGATCTCAATACTGAATGACGTTTTTTAAATCATATCAGAAATTCCTCTTTCACCAACTTTCCCTCTTTTCTTAGTTTGGTGCCATCCCTTTCTCCCCTTCGACACGTTCAGCTCTGCTGCGCTGATTTCCCTCCTCTCTCTTGTCTCAGAGTAAACTGGGCTAAGGTGCGCCCTCTGAGACGGAACGGGCATGTTCCTTTATCGATACGTAGCATCTCTGATCACAACATATCAAAGGTTTCTCAAAGTTTGAAGTAAGCAGAGACACAGAAGCACAAATACTCAGCTAACTTTAATCACATTCCAAATTCTGAAGACTTTTGATCCTAGAAAATAAAAAAAGCTAACTTGCTAAGCTGTGTTCACAAACGTTAAAAAACATAACATGATCTTTAATTTATTTGTAAATCTTGAGCAACAGTGTTCGTGTGGGTTCAGGAAAGGCTGCAGGTGGATTAAATACTCTAAAGGTTCAGAAAGCTAGAAGCCTTGTGCCCACACGTTCCAGTATCCATTAGAAATGTTCAGGTCCAGTTCAGGGACCCACACTGCTTGCTGTCATTCAAATTCTAACCTCCAATAAATAATTGAAGACTACATTACTGTTTCTGTCTCTCAAGACCCTTTTCCTCCTCTTGCCGGGTTATTTCTCTCATCATTCCAATCTCTTTCTCAGATTTGATCCCGTCTCGCCTGCGGTTCTTCATCTCTCTCCCCAGTGGGTCTGCTAGTGAAGACCACCCCCAGTTTCTTCTTTGTAGTAAATTAAATTTGTCACAGGTTATGTCCAACACCTTGTGTGACAAGAGTTTCCTTAAATGTATCACACAAGTTTGAATCCCAGTTACCAGAATAAACCAGTTTTTGAAAGACGGCTGTTTCTGTCTACAACTCTGTGATCCAATCAAAATGTTCTGAAAGCGTTGGTACTGGTCCATGACGCTGTCCACTGCTGATTGCAGCCTGGGCTGGACAGGTGGTCCCCCTGGTTCTTCTCTTCTGTGACGAGGGACATCCCGAGTGCACTTCCACTTACGGCAACACCTCTAACTCTACCACAGCAATACTTCAATAAAAACGACGAGGCAGTGACTCGGTTTAACTTGATTTGTATAGAAGAAAACAGAGACATGATAAAGAGTAGAAAAACAGGTCCTAGACTCTTTGGATTGATTCCAGAAAGTAGCTGGAGCTTCTGCCGACATCATCAAATAGGCCTTTTCCAACAGCACTACTCAGCCTATAACAGCTCGGTACAGCTTGGGTTATCTCAGCTCACTTCAGTGCAGTTTTCCCTGCCAGCTGCATGACAAAAAGTGGGCGCGTCCCTCTTACTGCGCGGGGGCACTCTTGGGAGTTGAAATGATCCAACAAAAGGATGGTGCGCTTTTGACTTTGTGAAAAAATGGCTAATTTGCAAAAGGAAAATAGTCCCCAAACTGAAGAAAACAACTAAAATATTGAGAAAAATAAATACAAAAGAAAAATCTGCCTTTCGGTTATGAATCATGAGAATGTAATTGATGTTTTGTGTGCATTAAAAAAATTACTAAACTGTCAAACAGCACTACCAAATGAGATTTGATGAGTGGAAAAAATAACTCGTCATTAATGAAGTTTCTATTAAATTTGTTTAATTATGTAAATTATAATTATAAAACTTTGAGAAATGGGAACAAATAATAAAAACTCAAGACTTTTAAACCCAGCTTGATGAGCACACTGTGATCCGTGATGTTCCTGTTTCATTTTACTGTTGAAAGCAGGACTTCCTCCTGCTTCATCTTTAAAAGCTGCTCTGCTAATTCACTGTTTTCCACCCATGAGGGTTCATTTGTGAACAGATAATAAGGAAAACATGTCAAAAAGCTGAAATGTGACATTGTAAAGGGACAAATAATACAGGAGAATTGTGATTATTACATTTATGTGGGGTATGTTTTATGTATCATGGTCTTTATTGCTGTATTGGCTCAGATGAGACATGGATTTATTGAGATTTCATACTGAAAGATGCTGTTCCACTCATTTGATGAGGTGTTAAATACATTTTGTTAAGCTTCTGTAAGTTTGGAACGATCTGAAGTGAATTTATGATAGTTCCACTTCCCTGCTGAGTTTACTTCCTCGGGACATTTCACAGGTTGAAATAATTTATAGAATTGGAGCTTCGTAGAACAATATTCTGTCTTTATCTCACTAAATGATAATGAAGATAAAGTCCAGGGGTCTCATTTGTCAAACATTGCGTAGAATCCTTACTAAAACCGTACTTAAGCTCAGCAAAAAAAAAAAAAAAAGTATTTACGCCAAGTAGGTTTGTGATCTATCAAACATGGAGTACGCTTCATAAATCAGAGACTAATGAGAATGTTTCTCAGCTGCTTTTTAGTCACATCCCGCCCTCACCACGCCCACTTACTGCCATAAATAGTCAATGCAAAGTGCCTTGTGGACCTCATGCATCTACATAAGCCGGCTTGTTGCAGCATTTCGACCACGACCGCAGATCAAGGAAGCGCTATTTCACAAGCAGAAATTGAGGTACCTGTGGGTGAGGTGGAGAAATGAAAGGAAGTGCTTTTGCAAAACAAATAAGAGAAAATCCGCGGAGTGGCACAGCGTTGCTGAAGCCGTCAATGCTGAGTTCTTCAGAGAGATCTGTGGCGGATATAGAAAAATGGTCCAATCGGGATTCAATCCCTAGACTCCCAGGTGAAAGTCAAGCAAGCTAACCAGTCAGCCAAACGGAGATCTCCCTTTTCTAAGTTGCCAGGGGCCAGGGCGCATGATCAATCGGGTCACAGTGACAGGACACACACACACACTGCCACACACGCATGACATTCTGTCTCAATCTGTCCCCATGCTGATATTCTGCATTCCGTATTCTGCGCTTCAGGCTGTGTGTGCGCGCACTCGTGTGTGAGTGTGGTTATTTCTGCTTCTTCCCTCAGTTCATTTGTTTCACCTGTGCCCAGTTCCCCACTTACCTGCTCCTCGTCTCCTAATCAGCCAGCCCCTGTGTATATAACCCTGTTTGTGTCTCTCAGTGTTTATCGGTCCATTGTCGTTGTCAGTGTTGTTCTGTTCCTCCTCGTGAAACTCTGGGTTTTGCTCATCAACGAGCTTTTTGTTTTTGTCAGTCGGGTTACTGACTTTAGGCTTGGCTTCCTGCCCTTTTTGGATTTTTGGACATTGACTCCTAATAAAAGGATTTTACGTTTTACTACGCTCCTGCCTTGTGTCGTTCTGGGTTTCTGCATCTTGGGTCTTGACCTCCTCCTGGCTCAAACGTGACATACGCAGTTTTCCGACCCCATTTTGTGCGTAAGCAAGCTTGATAAATGAGGCCCCGGACCTTCCCCTCAGATATCCAGATATGTATCATACTAGTTAAAACATTTACAAAAAATCCCTTCACATCAAATCTTGTGAACTTTTGAATTTGGGGTCCTGTAAATCAAACAACGGTCTACACAGTAGTGTGGCTTCTTCTCCAGATATTCTGGCTACCTTTCTGAGTCCAGATGTGTTGGGTTTGTGATGGACTGGTGACCCATTGGCCATGGGCCGCTGGGATAGACAACAGAACTTTTGTGACCCTAAACAATATAAAGCGGCTGCAGAAAATGGGTCTCATTACATTGAAGTATAAAATAATAGCGATGAAGAAAATAATTAGCTAGCTTTGTCCATCTTAGATTGGATCCATTGGTAAAAGCACCTTTCCCATTTCGGAGACAACTATTTAAATGCTGACAATCATGTTTTATAGGGTTTTGTATAATATCTCCGCTTGTATGTCTCTACTGCCTCTATAAACACCCCAAACATGGAATAAAATGTTCATGTTTTTTGTTGTTTGGTTTGAGAACTTGTGGGCCTAAAACAAGCCATTTCAACAAGTACCAGTTTGTGATGTCACAAATGGGAAAACTAGCATAGAACCACCAGTCACGTGCAAGAGAGAGTTACTACCAAAGGGGCAGCAGCTCTAGTCTGAGCCCTTCGAAGTTATTAGATCTTCTGAGCTTGTAGCAGCCAGAGTGAGGGATGGGTGGGCGTGGCCAGCTCCAGCTTATTTTCTCACAGAGACTTGAAACAGGGTATTTTGGAAGGTACTGAAACTGTCAAGGATAGACATGCTGAAATTGATTCATGTGAGAGGGACTTTATGCACCCCCTAGTGTCCGTTTAGTAGAACCAAAAGCAAAACTTATCTCCTCGCTGTTTGTTCGTCATTTTAACACCTTAATCTGAAAGCTGAAATGTCTCCCCAGCCTTCATTAGTGTCTACAGGAACGATTCATCACTAAATTAAACACATCCGCTGTGTTTATGATCCAAACCATGCAGGAAACGTGCCAGAACCAGACTGCAGCGCCAGGTATGTCACCTCAGTTAGTTCCAGGTCCAACAGACTGGACCGGCACTCTGAAGTTGCAAATGCAGTATTTTGCCCACAGAGGGCAGTGGTGGTCTGGGCTACATTTCATTAATCCTGAAAAGGGCAATTTTAGCACGTACTGGTTTAAGAAAATAATTTAAAAATGTGAAAAAGTTTCAAAGTATCCCTTTAAAACATTTGAAGAATGTTCATAGTATGTCTCGCATAAGCTCCTCAACTTCTGTCATCATCCTTACTTGGTCAGCTCCCTTCTTTTTCTTTTTCTTTTTCCCCCAGCAGCCGGAGCTCTCTCCCTCACTGCCGTTGGCATCACAAAGCAGCCCATCCAGCTCCTCCAGACCACCCTGCTGGCCATGGGAAGTCTCGGCAGCCAATCTGTACGACAGGTTCCTCAGGATACAAACACAGTTCTCCACCGTCTGGAGATAAAGAAAGTTGAGAGGAAGTGAAGAGAAGACGGGGGTTGGGGGGTGAATAAAATGAGTGAGAAAGTTGAAATGGAAGATTGTGTTTGATGCCATTTACAGAAAAACAACCTGGCATGAAAACAGATGAAGTTCAAAGTCAAAGCACAGTTGAAAAGGAAAAAAAAAATAAACACCCACTCGCACACTTTAAATCTACAACTCTCCTGATAACACCCATGAGCAAAACAGATGGAGCCACTGAGACCAAGTAAAGCAGAAGCAGGAAACCATAATCATCCAGGTAAGACACTTCTGCATTTTCTTAGTGCTGACTTTCAGATAAGTTTAGAAAAAGCAACTTCAAGCAAATGAGGAAAAATGACAAACCCAATACATTATCACACACCTCATTTAACATCCAGTTTAGAGGCGAACCCAGCAGCCGCCGAGCTCACAAGGAAGTGTGCGTCTACATGAGCAAAGCCATGTCCTACAATGTTTGCTGTTTATTCATAAGCGTGCACTTTACTGACGGCGTGCGAGGCTGCATGCGTGCACGAGAGGAGACATCGAGTCAACAGAGTGGAAATGATCAAAGGCAAATCATCAATCTTTTCATGGTCTGACCGTTAGCTTACACAAAGACGACTAAGGAGTGTAATTGGACAGCCTGGAGAGATGCAACAGAGAAAACCACGTCTCACTCCAATGAGCCGCAGTCGTGTCTGAAATTCTATTCAGATTCTATTATGGAACGATGTTGAGAAAGCTGTGTTTGATTTACAATTTACCGTGACATTTCATATTTCGATCTGTTGTTTCACATTTACACAGAACCCCTCCCACTTCTGAAAGCATAGTTAGGAAATGTGCTTGTTCTTGTTTTTATGTTATTACCAGCACGGTCAGAGGTCAGCCACAGATCATAAAATCTCCAAGTGGGTGCCTTTTAAGAGTTTTTAGAGTTTTTTAAAGAGAAACTATGCTAATGTATGTTTGAAGGAACTTTGGGTCGTATCATATCTTATTTATTAGAGATTAGCACATTATGGGCCTCCATTTTCATTTGAACTCTTTGGGATGTTTTATTATTTATTGACAACATTCCCAAGCAAACTGAAGGAAATGATGCAAAGAACGGCAGACCCAGTGCAAACTGAGCTGAGAGATAATGTGGATCTCCACTGCAGCAGTGACCATTTGGTGCTTCATCCACCAGTCTTTGTTACTGTGGCAACAGCATTCCTCTGGCAACAGCAGAGGAACGGTGGTGAGGGGAGGATGGTTAAACCATGATTAAGGACGGCCATTTAGAAAGGCTGGGAGACAGAGAGACCTTGAGAAGTCAGTCATCCACAACACTTGGTTATGTAACACTGACTTGCCCACACAAACACATCAATGTGGTGTGCACCAAAGTCCATCCATCCATTTTCATCCCATGGCGTTCCCTGGTCAGCTGAGAAACATAGTCCCTCCAGCGTGTCCTGGGTCTTCCTTTAGATGTCCTCTTGGTTGGACGTGTCCTGAAATCTCACCAGGGGGGCGTCAGGTTGTCTGTCATCCTGACCAGATGCCCGAGCCACCTCAACTGGCTCCTCTCAATGTGGAGGAGCAGCGAATCTACTCCGAGCCCCTCCTGGCTGACCGAGCTTCTCACCCTATCTCTCAGGAAGAGCCCAGCCACCTTGAGGAGAAAACTCATTTTGGTGGCTTGTTTTCACGATCTCATTCTTTTGGTCACTACCCAAAGCTCAGGACCTTAGGTGAGGGTAGGAACGTAAATTGGCTGGTAAATCGAGAGCTTTGCCTCCTGGTTCAGCTCTCTCCACCCCTACAGGCCGGTACAACGCCCGCATCTCTGCAGCACCAATCGGCCTATCGACCACTGGCTCCACCTTTCCCTCACTCATGAGAGGCAAACAAAATGAGGCCAACCTAATAGGCCTTTTCCACCGCCCAAACTGGCATGGAATGGGAAGGATCGGGTTGCTAAATCTTCAAGTTCCCCAACATTCCTCCACATTCCAATGGGAATGCACAGATAATGGCCATATTTACAAATGAAAGGCAGCTAATTGTCAGTGACTGAGTTGTGATTTTCAAACCAAGGAGCCATTTGGCTACTTCTGGTAGAGGTGATGGGCTCAGAAAATCCTGGTAGTTCTAGTGTTAACCTCCTCCACTTGGGGCAGGACCTCGTGTCTGACCTGGAGAAAGCATTCTACCCTTTTCTGACTCAACAAGTATGAACAGTAAGGAAACGCCCTCTTAACCTTGACCGGCAGCTTAACTGGCAGCAATAAAAACTCAAATATGTGTGAATGTTGTTCACCACTTCCAGACTTTTTTGCCATGATTTAACTTTACTCTGGAGATGGGTGCTCTAATTGTTGGAATTTATAAGTTTTATACTTCTTGTTCTCTGAAGTGATTGGTTCCCGTACTGTGACTGTTGGGCTCAATCTAACTTATCTGCTCCTGCTCCTTGTCATTGTCAGATCTGTGGTTTCCTTTGAAAACACACTCTTTATGTAAACAAAGAAAACAGGAAAAGGAATTCGGAGATTCTGACGCAAACCTTGCTGTCGATCTCGGAACTGCCCAGGGAGGTCTGGATGACGTAGAGCAGAGCGTCTGTAAGGCCGTCACACTCCCTCATCCTCCGTCTCGCCTCTTCACCTGCTGAGCTTACATTCCTGCAACACAAAGAATTTCAATAGATGCTTGCTGAGGAGGAGTGATGAGGAAAAAAAAGGATGATAGTAAGAAGAAATCTGGTAATAACTGGTGCTTAAATAGAGAAACAGATATAAAACAAGGACATTTAAATCAGGAAGCCTGCAGCTTTCGTTAAACAGCTAAAATATCCCAGTTGTCAATCCCTGCTTCAAGGTTTGTTTCATTTAAATAAAAAGCTGCATCATCCAAACATGGCCATCTTCACTCTAACATACCTTTGTTAATCTGTTTTGTGATTAGTAGCATTTCTGTTGTGATGCACAGAAATAATGGAGATAATTTAGAATAAATGTGAGATAAAAGCAGGAGTTGTTAGGGTTTCAGCAAAGCGGTGCCTAGTAAATCAGACAGTCAGTACCTAACAGTGTCTCATGTGCCTGAGTTGGACATAGGAAAGCAAAGCATGTATTAAAATAACACAATACATTTTCTTCAATAACAAAAAAGCCCTATAGTCATTAACCTAGAGACGCAGGAACATGAATGATAGCATTCCTTCACCTTGCACTACCGATGACAGCATACTGATACTTAAATTGCCAAAGGTAAGTGCAGTGCAATCATTATGCTTCATATTTATAAACAGAAAAATAATAAAAGGTTGATAGCACCAATAAAACTAAATCACAAAGCTACAGAACTAAAGGCAGTTCTCATAAGCAAGTACATACATTTTATATAAATAGAATAAAATACTCCTTGAACCGTCACCTTATCGTGGTGGAGGAGTTTGAGTGCCCTAATGATCCTAGGAGCTATGTTGTCTGGGGCACTTAGTGCCCCTGGTAGGGTCTCCCATGGCAAATTGGTCTTAGGTGAAGGGTGAGACAAAGAACGGTTCGAAGGATCTTTCATGGCGGTTAAAACGAAGAGTCGGAGTACCCGGCCCTGAGGGTTACCGGGGTCCCACCCTGGAGCCAGGCCTGGGGTTGGGGCCCGTGAGCGAGCGCCTGGTGGCCGGGCTTTCGCCCATGGGGCCCGGCCGGGCCCAGCCCGAACCGGATACATGGGCTCGTCCAAATGTGGACCCACCACCCGCAGGAGGAACATGAAGGGTCCGGTGCAATGCGAATCGGGTGGCAGACCAAGGCGGGAGCCTTGGCGGTCCAATCCCCGGACAAGAAAACTAGTTTTTGGGATATGGAACGTCACCTCGCTGGCGGGGAAGGAGCCGGAGCTTGTGGCAGAGGTTGAGCGATACCGGCTAGATATAGTCGGACTCACCTCGACACATTGCATTGGCTCTGGAACCCGAGACCTGGAGAGGGGTTGGACACTCTACTTTGCTGGAGTTGCTCCGGGTGAGAGGCGGAGGGCTGGGGTTGGCTTTTTGTTAGCCCCGAGACTCTCTGCCTGTGTGTTGGGGTTTACCCCGGGGGACAAGAGGGTAGCTTCCTTGCGCCTTCGGGTCGGGGAACGGGTCCTGACTGTTGTTTGTGCTTATGGGCCAAATATCAGTTCAGAGTACCCACCCTTTTTGGAGTCCCTGGGACGAGTGCTAGATAGTGCTCCATCAGGGGACTCCATTGTCCTGCTGGGGGACTTCAATGCTCACGTGGGCAATGACAGCTTGACCTGGAGGGGTGTGATTGGGAGGAACGGCCCACCTAATCTTAACTCGAGCGGTGTTTTGTTATTGGACTTCTGTGCAAGCCGCAGTTTGGCCATAACGAACACCATGTTCGAACATAAGGATGCCCACCGGTACACTTGGTACCAGGGCAGCCTAGGTCACAGGTCGATGATAGATCTTGTAGTCGTATCATCTGACCTGCGGCCGTATGTTTTGGACACCCGAGTGAAGAGAGGGGCGGAGCTGTCAACTGATCACCACCTGGTGGTGAGTTGGATCAGATGGCAAGGGAACATGCCGCGTAGACCTGGCAGACCCAAACGCATAGTGAGGGTCTGCTGGGAACGCCTGGCAGAAGAACCTGTCAAGACGGTCTTCAACTCCCACCTCCGGCAGAGCTTTGACCACATCCCGAGAGCAGTGGGGGACATTGAGTCCGAGTGGGCCTTGTTCCACTCTGCGATTGTCGAGGCGGCTGTTGCTAGCTGTGGTCGTAAGGTGGCCGGTGCCAGTCGTGGTGGCAACCCCCGTACCCGCTGGTGGACACCAGAGGTTCGGGGAGCCGTCAGGCTGAAGAAGGAGGCCTACAGGGCGTGGCTGGTCTGTGGGTCTCCGGAGGCAGCAGACAGGTACCGGATAGCCAAGCGGGGTGCAGCAGTGGCAGTTGCCGAGGCAAAATCTCGGGCGTGGGAGGAGTTTGGTGAGGCCATGGAGAAAGACTATCGATCGGCTCCAAAGAGGTTCTGGCAAACTGTCCGGCGCCTCAGGAGAGGAAGGCAGCAACTCGCTCACACTGTTTACAGTGGGGATGGGGAGCTGCTGACGTCAACTGAGGCTATAGTCGGACGGTGGAAGGAATACTTTGAGGAGCTCCTCAATCCCACCAATGCGCATTCCGAGGAGGAACCAGAGCTGGGAAGCCTGGGGATGGACTGTCCGATCTCGGGGGCAGAAGTTGCTGAGGTAGTCAAACAACTACACAGCGGCGGAGCCCTGGGGGCGGATGAGGTTCGTCCTGGGTATCTCAAGGCTATGGATGTTGTAGGGCTGTCATGGTTGACACGTCTCTACAACATTGCGTGGTCATCGGGGGCAGTTCCTAGGGAGTGGCAGACCGGGGTGGTGGTCCCCATCTTTAAGAAGGGTGACCTGAGGGTGTGTTCCAACTATAGGGGGATCACTCTCCTCAGCCTCCCTGGAAAGGTCTACGCCAAGGTACTGGAGAGGAGGGTCCGATCGATAGTTGAATCTCAGATAGAGGAGGAGCAATGTGGTTTTCGTCCTGGCCGTGGAACTGTGGACCAGCTCTATACCCTTGCAAGGGTGATGGAGGGGGCATGGGAGTTTGCCCAACCAATCCACATGTGCTTTGTGGATTTGGAGAAGGCTTATGACCGTGTCCCCAGGGGCACCCTGTGGGGGACGCTCCAGGAGTATGGGGTGGGTGGCTTTCTGTTAAGGGCCATTCAGTCCCTTTACCAGAGGAGCGTGAGTTTGGTCCGCATAGCCGGTAGTAAGTCGGACCTGTTCCCAGTGAGGGTTGGACTCCGCCAGGGCTGCCCTTTGTCACCGGTTCTGTTCATCACTTTTATGGACAGAATTTCTAGACGCAGCCGTGGTGTGGAGTGTGTTGAGTTTGGTAGCAGGAGAATCTCGTCTCTGCTTTTTGCGGATGATGTGGTCCTCCTAGCTTCATCCAGCTCTGACCTTCAGCTCTTGCTGGGTAGGTTCGCGGCCAAATGTGAAGCGGCTGGGATGAGGATCAGCACCTCCAAATCTGAGACCATGGTTCTCGACCGGAAAAGGGTGGCTTGCCACCTCCGGGTCGGGGGAGAGGTCCTACCTCAAGTGAAGGAGTTTAAGTATCTCGGGGTCTTGTTCACGAGTGAGGGTAGGAGGGATCGGGAGATCGACAGGCGGATTGGTTCGGCGTCTGCAGTGATGCGGACACTGAGCCGATCTGTCGTGGGGAAGAGGGAGCTGAGCCAGAAAGCCAGGCTCTCGATTTACCGGTCGATCTACGTCCCAATCCTCACCTATGGTCATGAGCTTTGGGTAATGACCGAAAGAACGAGATCGCGGATACAAGCGGCCGAAATGAGTTTCCTCCGTAGGGTGGCCGGGCTCAGCCTTAGAGATAGGGTGAGGAGCTCGGACATTCGGGAGGGACTCGGAGTAGAACCGCTGCTCCTCCGGATCGAAAGGAGCCAGTTGAGGTGGTTTGGGCATCTGGTCAGGATGCCTCCTGGACGCCTCCCTGGGGAGGTGTTTCGGGCATGTCCTGCCGGCAGAAGGCCCCCGGGTCGACCCAGGACACGTTGGAGAGGTTACATCTCCAATCTGGTCCGGGAACGCCTTGGGGTCCTGCCGGAGGAGCTGGTGGACAAGGCCGGGGAGAGGACGGCCTGGAGCTCCCTAATTGGTATGCTGCCCCCGCGACCCGGACCCGGATAAGCGGAGGAAGACGAAGACGAAGACGAAGACGAAGAATAAAATACACAGTAAAAGCAGGAAAGGCATTTATGTATAGTGTTTGTAAATCCTGCTGTAGACAGCATCTAAGGAAATCAATGTTAAGGCCACAGCAAGCCGATTTTAGTGTGTGTGTGGCTGTCTGCGTACAAGTACCTCTGAGAAAAATGACTTCAAGAAGCCCTAAAACCCTCATGGCCACAACCATCAATGTACTTCCCCAGCATGGTCGTATTTAGTACAATCAATTCTTGTCAATGCAGCTGAAAAGCACCAATGGAAAAAGACGATGTACTCCTCTAACAACAAGATAAAAGGGTCAGACCTACATACTCAGGTCTGAGATTTGAGAGCCCCCCACAGAGGCTTTTTGGAGGGGTACAAATGAGCAAAATTATGTCTGATTGTGTGTTAACCATAAAACACATCTGCTTTTATGCATGTCAGGGCTGCAGCAATGCATCATAGTTGTATTATATCATGTAAACGTTATAAAAGACATTAGGGCTGTGCAGCTGATCAAATTTGTTTTGGATTTTGTTTCTCATTACAAAACAAATGAAATTTGATTAAAAAACAAATATTAAAATAATTTTGTTACAGTCTTTACGAGCATGCTTTTATTTTGTTAGGCTGACTCAATGACTCACACTTCCTCACTTAAAGTGAATTGTGGTGGTAATTTAAAGGAACTGTACAAGTAAAAATGGCAGAATGATGGCAAAACACACTGACGTGTAAACTGTGAGAATGACCAAAAAGCATGCCTCAATATTTCTAATCAGTGTCCTGCAATTTTTCCCCATAGGATTTTTTTTCCAAGCCCAAACACTAAAGATCACAATTTTAGGCACACTGACTCTCGTAGCAGCTCTTCGCTGGGCAGCATTGTATATATTGTAGATTAAAGTA